ACCTTTTTTGAACTTATCAATTTAAATGAATTTAATTTTTTGACAGTTGGCAACACTTTAAAAACTTTAATATTTTTTCAATCCAGCTGATAAGCTGTATGCACGCAAAATTTTATTTTTAAACAGGTGGTAAAGCTCTTCCAAAATATTTTCGAAATTATGCTCTCTTAAACCTTTTTTCGTTGGATATCTGCATTGTTATATTTGATTGAAGTTATTAGTTTCATTTAACTTTTTTATCAGCTTGCAGCTGTTTGAATTAAGCAACCAATTTTCAACCCAGCTCATAAGCTATCGGTGTGCGAAATTTCATGCAAATCGGTTTAGTAATTTTCGCGTGAATGAGCGACAAATATCCAAACTCACCACCCACAAACTGACAAACGTACCAGCTACCAAATTTACATATAATCAGCCTAACCAACCATGAGTTTCATTTTCCCCGAACCGGTTCACTTTATACTTTTCGTTTCCATATATTTAGTTACTATGGGCGGATGGGAAAATTTCCGGTGAATTTTTTGCAGGCAAAACTCAGAATGAGGTGGAATATTAGCAGGATATGAAAATTTATAATAGATTTCTTTATCGTTATATGTTAAAGCTGAATCGGGAACGTGGAAAACTTTCTAGAGAAACTGGAGAAAAGCAATTGTCGGACGATGCAGCCGACTCGGCTCTTATCGCTTGGGTAAAATTTCTGGATATCCTTTTTGGTCTGATTCAAGGTTACCTGAATTTTAAGTGTAGGTGGGTGGTTAAGGGCAACCTCGCCGTCCATTAGTATGGGATACCGCATCCCTCCCGGAAACTCCAGAATTATCTTGGGTAGGAAGCTGTCATGAAAGCTAAATATTGAGGACAGGGCATTAAAAAGGTGTTTGTTACCTGCAGGAGAGCTTTTGTTAAAAGATGGGTTCTCTTGTTGAGTGTAATTCATACGCTCTATGATATAACAAAAATCTAATACAAACAAAACCAAAACCACAAAGTTAAGGTTGACAGATAGGGGACCAAGACTACCTTGCGGTCATAAATTTATAATTTCTTTTTTTATTAGAATAAATTCCGCCTGTTGCAAATTTTCAAAGCACAAATTGAAAATTGGACTTTTGGACGCAGAAAGTGCTTATTTCCAGGGTTCGTATTTGCACACACATGTGCAGCACATCCTAACATTTTAAGCTCACACACGTGTGCTGTGCATATAAAAAATTAAAAATTTGCTCACATCACATGTGTGTGCCGTTTGGTAACCAGCACGGGCACATGTGTGTACTTTCTTTTTATTAATGTAAAGCACACGCACATGTGTGTGCTATGCGTAGAGAAACTTATACACTTCGAATTCTAACTCAAATCTTAAAATAATTTTTTAATATGTTTTCTGTCATATAAAAAACAAACAACATCTCACTTTTTATTGAATTGTCTTTCAAAAAATAACGTTTAATAAACAAATTCTTTTAAGAATATATTATGTGCATGCGCATGGGCTGAAATTTGTACAAAAATCGGCTCACACACATGTGCATGTGCTTAATAACAAACAGCACACACATTTCTGTGAGTAGAGTTTGTTTTCCACTTATGCACACACATGTGTAT